CAGACAGCCATGTTTGACGCCCTGGCGCTTAGGCAATTATTTACTTAGACATGCCACGACATCCGGACGATATCGGGAGAAGTGTTCTGCACTACAGGCCGCCAGTCATGCGCTGAAGCTCTTCAAGGAGCTTGGCCACGTAGTGGGCCAGACCGCTGCGCTGCATGGCTTGGCCAAGGCGTGCCGGTCAGGATATAGGGGAGGTGCTTGAGTCAGGTTTTTCAAGGACCTGCAAGATCAGCATTCTGGGTACACTGCCTTTCATGCAGATCTGTCGAGGCTGAAGCCTGGGCCTAATTGTGTTCCGCGGCTGCCTGCATACAGTTTGGGTGACTGACTTCCCTCGCTCCGGCTTGATTTGCATTTTAGCACCGCAGCAGTACATGTATAGTACTATGATAGTAGTATTATAGTGCTCTTCTAGCACAAACAGAGTATTATGATAGTATTACTGTAGCAGGTTTTCTCAGATCATGAGCCGTAACCGACAGGCCCAGCTGGCCAAGCGCAGCACCGACGAGGCACTTGGCCGCGCCGCAGAAGCTTTGAGGCGTGGAGGAACCCAGAGACTCCAATATCCCTTAATTAAGGAATGTAACATTCCTTAATGCAGGGATAATGGAATTTCTGGACAATCAGGGGTGGAAGGCTTTGTGCTGAAGGAGTGCTTCCGGACGTCGGATCTTGAGCACTTGATTTGAGATGTGGTGTAGAACTCTGGACGAAGGCCACGTTCCACGCAATGCCGAAATTTTTGCACAGACCCAGCATGAATTGGATTCTTGGACCTGATTTACTCTCGGACGGCAGCTCCGAACCCTGACAAATACAAATGCAGCCTGCACACGCTATGTAAGCCACCCGACGCAAGGCTATGCCGCTTGCTTGGAGACCGCCTAAGTGAGGTGCCGGTCGCCGGGGAAGTCGGGCTTCAAGTCTTCGGGGCTTCACCGCTAAGCGAGGCAATATCGGGTTCCTTTAAATCCTTGGTCTATTGCCATTGCCTGCCCCAAAACCCTACTTCAACGACCGAGGCCCCTGTAGTAGTAGTAGTAGTAGTAGTAGTAGTAGTAGTAGTAGTAGTAGTAGTAGTAGTAGTAGTAGTAGTAGTAGTAGTAGTAGTAGTAGTAGTAGTAGTAGTAGTAGTAGTAGTAGTAGTAGTCGTAGTAGTAGTAGTAGTAGTAGTAGTAGTAGTAGTAGTAGTAGTAGTAGTAGTAGTAGTAGTAGTAGTAGTAGTAGTAGTAGTAGTAGTGGTAGTGGTAGTGGTAGTGGTAGTGGTAGTGGTAGTGGTAGTGGTAGTGGTAGTGGTAGTATGGTTGTAGTAGTATGGTTGTAGTATGGTTGTAGTATGGTTGTAGTATGGTTGTAGTAGTAGTAGTAGTAGTAGTAGTAGTAGTAGTAGTAGTAGCGGTGGTAATACCAGAATTAGGAGTAATAGTAGTTGTTGTTGCTGTAGTGGTAGTGGTAATCGTCACGACACCTTTCTGTTCTAAAGCGCTGCCCGTAGAGGCGCAGCTCGTCGTAACGGCCGCCTCGGCCGCCTTGGCCTCCGGCGCGGCGAACAAGGCGCTTGCTTCGGGCTCCAGTACTATTATTGCTATTGTTACTGTATATATATATATATATATATATATACAGTTGTATAATAGGTGGGGAGAGGGAACCATCACGGATTTTGGGATGCCAGAAGCAAAGATTTTCCTCTGCGTGGCCGTCAGCTGAACGTCATAATTAAGCCCTGAAGTTTGGCACTGGAAAGATCCAGTTTTGGCATCATGCCGGATGCTTGCCTTTGGTTTACGAAGTTAACGCTTCTGCTGATCAGCAACAGCATCAAAACACCAGCAAGCACCTAACAGGCACGAGATGCGGAGCAAAATGCCAGGACCTGGGTCTGAACGCAACGGTCCAGGAAACAGGTATATGTTAACCATTGGGTAAAAGTTATCACGCACATATGTACATATATATATATATATATCTGTTATGTTTCTGCACATATGTAAGCATACATACCTATCAGTACAAATGTGTATATATATATATATATACATACATATATATAGATATGTGTTTTGTGTATATATATATATATATATATGCACATATAGTTAGACGCAAACGGTCGTACAAAGAAGAACTAAGCATACACGCAAACGCGCAGACAGACAGAGACAGACAGACAGGCAGGAATCTCCACCACAAGCACAGCTGCCACACCCACCACAGCATGGGGGACAACTACAACCAACACAAGCACCCCCACACGCCACGGCACCTCAGCCACAAGTTGGGGGACAACGACATCCACCACCACTCCAACAACCTCCTCAAGCAATGGTCGGACAGCAAACCCCGCAGCTACCACAACAACCACCACCACAGCCACAGCAGCCAGTCACATGCCAACAGCCACCACAACACTTCACAAGACTAGGAACGGTACAGTATGCTCCTCCGTACGACCCAGACACCGACCCTTGGAACTCGGCTGCACCCTCACCAACACATACACCGCGAGCCAACCCATACCACTTGGTCGACGACCCATGGCACCCCGACTCCGACCACGAGGCGACACACCAACCACCACCACCACACCAACAACCACAGCAACCCACAGGTCAAGCCACCGCAACAGGAGTCTCAAACGCAGCAGGGGATACTGAGCCCCAGTGCCAACCAAGCGAAGTACCGGCAACCACGGCAACAGCATGGGGGGACAGTGAGCCCCAAAGCCAAACACCTGCAGCAGCCGGCACTCCGGACAGGCAAAACATGGCCGTGTCTGGAATTCCACAACCATCGGTCAGCACAAAACCGAACTGTGACATACCAGACGATGCTGAAGCTCAGAAAGAGGAAGCGGTGAAACACGACACCACCGAAGCCCATCCACTACCAGCAGCACCAGCATACGAAGACACAGAGCAGCAGGACCATACAATCAGCACAACAGCCGACCAACCGGCCCAAAACAGCAACACTGCAGCGGCCGCGGAGGATGACCCGGCAGATCCGCCCCCACAGGATGAGCCAGACGAGAGTGACAACGACCCGCCAGAGGAGGACCAACCACGCAGAAATGAAGGACATGGCAGCCAGCGAGTCCTGAACAATGCAATGAAATACGTGTACAAGCAGAACAACAAGCGGGGGAACTATCAATGGCGCCCGCCGCCCCAGGACCAGCAAGGGCCTGGATGGGGGATTCTCTATGTCCCTCAAAACGATGCTACTGCATCGACACCAGCAACGGCCACCACACCAAAAAACCCACAACCAGAGCACCACAGCACCATGGGGGAGAAAGAATATAATCTCCAGAAGGAGAAGTACAAAGACTTGCTGAACAGACACTGGCACCGAGACGGGGAGCCAACAACAACAACCGGAAGCGGAAGCAGCAGCAGCAGCGGCATGCCAACGCGGGCCAGTGAGCCAGCACCGACAACAAGGCAGAACCCCGACTCAAGGCAGGCCCCAACGGGGAACACAGGCGCCACAAGCAGCTCCAGCAATCCGGACAGCCCCACGCAACAAACAGCGGGCCATCAGCAGCAAGACTGGGCAAAAACCCAAGGCGACTTTGCCGAAGTCGACATGCTCCCTCCTGACGTACCTCTTACGGAGCATAGCGTGGGTACCATGACACAGCTCACGAATGGAGTCTGGGAGCTTGTCATCACAGCCCGCCCCGACTCCACTCCACAAACAGGCAACCCTAGAGCAGTCAGAGAAGGCGCGGAAGGAAGCGCGGACACAGCACCACCGCTGACTATTGGCCTCACATGCAGATGGGTAGCCATCACGGAAAACATGTGGATGCTGGGGGTATTGACTGCCCCGAATGTCGGGGAACATGAGGCAGGATCCATGCTCCTTGCCGAAGGCGACAAACTGCTCTTTGAATATATAGATGGCGAATGGGCAATACGGGTGGAATACCTCCGACCTGACCCACCGTCAGACATCCACGCATGGCGTAACGCCCCTCCCAAAGCCAACCCACCACAGCCAAAACCAAGCCAACAGACAACGACACCCTCCATCCTCAAGAAGACGCTGAGCAGACCAGCAAACAGTCACACTAGGGACACCACCACCAACCACGACAGTGGAGCAAGCTCCTCACACGAAGTGCCTCGCAGCTACTACCCCAAGCCACAGCAACAACCAAAACCACCTACACCACCATCACCACCACAACAAGCTGAACCACAACCAACCCAAACAACCTTACACCCAGCACATCCCACCAGCAGCATTTTCCACAACGCAGCCTTCGTGGACACGCGACCACTACGAGGCCGGCCAAATACCGGCGAACAGCAAGCACCAGCGCAACAGCGACCACAACAACCACGACCGGGGGACACCCCATTAACTGCAGCCCTGCGAGACGGCAGACGCATTGGGCACGCACACCAGGACGAGCACAACCGTGCCGATGACGCGCCACGACCCACGCCTTCACCTCCACTAGCACCATCCCCACAACAAGACTACGACAGCCCCAGCCTTATGCAGCGGACGACACATACAACCAACAAGATTCCACACCAACCAACAGACACAAACACACCAGCAGCCACTGTCCTCGATCCACCAGAGGCATCCAACAACGAAGGCAGAGCCACACAGTTACACTCATGGCAACGTGTGGAGCAGCACCTGGTGGCCATACGACGCATAGCAGCTATGTACGACGACAGCCAAGGGGAACAAATCGTGAACCGCGCCAATAGCGCCCTCATAGACCTCCTGGTGGACAGTCAAACAGCAACAGAGCTTCACTTGGCAGAGGAAGCCGAACAAGCCCAGCGCACAAGCAACGAGGGGCAGCAGTCATCTGGTAGCGGGGGACCCGGGCACGAGCCCGCCGACCCCAGAAAGGAAGTGATGACCGCGGCACTGAAAGCAGCACAAGACCTACGTAACATAGGTAGAGTCATGGTCACAGCACCCCAAACCTGCATCACTACGGAGCTGTAGCACCCATGATTGCTGACCTCCTGCGATGGCTGGAAACCTTGGACCAGTCCGATGTGGCCGTGCACATCCAGCTCCCTCCGGTGCTCACGCCTCTCCGGGAAGTCCTCAACAGCATCCTACATGGGGGGACCAACACGAACTGGCACCAACTGGTGGCGGTGGGGGACGCCTTGGAAGTCCTGGTGGCAGGCCAAGTCCTCAGCCACCCTGCTGACGTCGTGACCCAGAACGATGGGGGAACGGAGAGCAATCTTCTCCCGGGGACGCAACCAGTGGCAGGATGGAGCCATGCGGTCGACGTACTGCATGCGATACGCCTTGAGCTCCCATCATACCCGCAGGCGTTTCTACCCACTGTCCAAGAAGCGGCGATGAATCTGCTGTGGGGAATATCCCGCCTTATTCCTGAGGAAGAGCACGGACAACCTGGCCAAGCATGGTGGACCAGTGATCGCCACCACGGCTGGGGGGACGTAGCTCGCGCCAGCGGTGCAGGGAACCGCGAGCTTCTACAAGCACCTGCCAGCCCACGGCCCAGAGGCACACGCAGGGCGCGATCACCCTCCATGGAAGAGGGGACAAGACGACGTGGGTCCAACGATAGCCATCGAAGACGACGAATGCTGGCAATCCACCTACATGAACGAGGACTGTGAGGGGGACCAACAAAACGAAGTCCTCCACGATTACCCGATTCTGCGCATGCTGACCTGAGATGACAAGATCAACTGACAGCTGTGAGATATAGTTGCATCGTATCAGCTAGGGGGACACATAAGAGAGCTTGTGTTCTAGATTGAAGTGCTTCGTCTTGCCTTTCTCGAGTCCACCAAGCGATACGTCGAGCTACTGACTCGTTCGTAAAAGTCACAGGCCCCCCGAAGAACTCAGCGTGATCTAGAAGCAATGTTTATTTTTCAGCAAAGGCCGGGGAAGAGCTCTGTGACAAGCACGAAGCTCTACATGATACACAGGGGGAAGAATCGGGGACTTAAATTTTGTGTACCTAAGCGGTTCATACTTGCTTTCGCTTCCTCCCTGTGTAAGTAATGATCAGGTCCGATATCCTCCCATTGGGGCAATACCGTGCAATCTTGCTTATGTTTCTCGGCTCTTTTGAACGATAGGAGCACTATCACATGGGTATCCAAATTACCTTAACCATCGAAGTCTTCCAAGGCCCCACACTTTGTTTCAAGAAAACAAGTCCTTGCGATCAGGCCAGTCTCGGTCCCTCATCATGACGTTTTGTTACCCTATTTCATGTTCTTTTCATTCTTGGGCACTACGAGAGGGGGACCAGACATCTGGATGTCAGTGCACACGTAGAGTGCCTATAGTCCTGACGGCCCAGTTCATACCAACGCGATGTGGGAACAACCGTATTCGAGTACTGACCTCAGCCCCCTACTCACCAAAAATATCCACATCCGCCGTTGGTTGCACGTGTTGAAAACAAACATGGGGGAACCAAGGGTCTTTCATAGTCCAATACACTTTCTTGCAACCTAGGGGACCCCATGCCTTTTCACGCCCTGCCGAAAGCCCCGTAACAAACGGGGGGCCCACGAGGCCGGGGGGCCTAACACGCTCCTCAAGCCCTGTCGAAGAAGACAGGCAGGCAGGCAGGCAGGCAGGCAGGCACACAGACACACAGACGCACAGACATACCGACACACGGACACATGCACACACAGACATGCAGACACACAGAGACATAAAGACCAAAGACAGACGGACAGATGTACAAACAAACAACACAGATAAAAAATACGTACATAAACATACATGCGTACAGATATATGTATGTATATGTATTTATATGTATATGTACATAGGTATGTATGTATACGTTGTGTATATGTTTATATACCGTACATATATACCCGATTGTACACACAATAATTAAGATGTGCATACATACATGCCTGCCTAGCTACATACATGCATACATACATGCCTGAAGACCATAGTGTCCTGCTGCGAAGCTCTCTCATGGATGGAGGCCCTCGGGTTCTTGGAGAACGCGGTGGCCACGGCCCGCGTTTTGGAGGATCGGCTGTTGGAGGCTAGAGCAGCTGTTAGCATGCTGGGTATGGGAGGGGCGTACACCTGCACGGAGTGAGTGAATGAGAGACCGAGCGAGAGCGGGAGACGAAACGAAGAGAGACAGGCTCCGAGGGTACGATTGTGCACGCTTTTGCGAAGCGAGCCTCTGACCTGGAGGGTTTCGCCCAGGCCTTCAGAAGAAGAGAACACAGAGACCGGCAGTGCAGCAAAGGTTCGTGATTTCCCACCTCGCTGGAACTTGCTGCGCTATGCCGTTTGTTACATTCCTTGACCCTTACCTCGTTTTTTGCAGGGTGTATTGTCATGCGAGGGGGGGCATGATACCAAGCAAAGAATAGACAGCTTCACTCGTGGTTTGGAGCTGTTTAGTCATCATGGATCTACAATTGCGCTACAGCCTAACATCAGTCCGTATCCTGAACTTTTCATCAAGTACCTTCTTGCTATCTGGGCCGAACCCCATTTTTGGCGTGTGCATGACAAGGCCGATCTCCTGTGCTTGGTGGCAAAGGCGGGGGTGAAATCCTGGGTTCAGGCTTGCGCTTCCGTTTATCGTCTTGTGTCGGTGCTTCGAAGTGCAGCCAGAGCATGGAAGTGGACCTAGTCGCGGTAATATAGGGGCCTGAGTGGTTGGAGTAGGATCTTGGGGTATATCGTTCGTATGGTTAACACTTCAGGCTTCGATAGTGTGCTCGTGGTTGGGCTCCTCGACTTAAGAAGTCTGAAATCTTCTGAAATAGCAGCCGCAAGAAAGGCAAGGCAAGTATGTTAAAGTGTAGCGGACCGGCAGAGTAATCAAAGCGTGTCGTGGGACAGAGGGATGGGCAAAGAACCTCGAGTCGTAGGACAGAGCTCTCTGAAAGGCCTCAAGATGTGTAACTTGGTTCAGCACGGACGCCTGCAGGTGGACAGATTCCGCGGCATGTACTCATTTGCCTCAAATATTGTACGGGCCCACGTCCCGAACCGAAATGCGAGGCTGTGATACTTTAAAGCCCAACGGGCCTGCTCGGGCATTCTCAAGGACAGGTAAAAGAACATAAGCTTCCGCCCTAAGCCCTCAACTGTTTTCATCAGTCGACCCTCTTGCTGGAATCCGTGCCTGCTTTGTGCGAGTGTGCGAGTCGAAGCCCTGAACCCTAAATCGTCCGGAAAGTCCAAACCGTACCGGCGCCGAGGCCTTCAAGAACAATGCACGAGACCTATAAACCCTAAACCGCTAAACCCTTAGCCCGGGGCGTGCAGGAGACAGGTAAAGGTGGTGAACAACAGGATGAATGAAGTGAGTGTTGTGTGGACATGGAAATGCCAGTGGAGTGCTTACACTTGTGCGAAGGTTTTGCAGGGCTTGGTTTACAACAGCACCAAACGCCCAGCGGAAAACTGCTTTTCAGACTCATAGGGAGACGGAAGCAGGGTCGTGCAAAAAAACAGCCTGGGCTTGACAACCGCAGAACAAGAACGGGTACGGATACACACCCTGTCCCCATAGTCCTGGATTGCCTCCAGACCTCGCCTGGTACTGCCGAGTGTGAGCGTAGAAAAAGACCCTTAAAACATTAAACCCTAAGCAAATTCCTTGACCTTGCGAGGCCCGTGCCGCCTGCAACGAGCCTGGGGCAGCAGCAGCCAAGGTGAGACGGCTGCACAATACAGTGGAACAAAATATAGTAAATGTCATATGAGATAAAAGTTATGAGATCAAACATATGATAGTGTGTGACAACACACATATATATATAATATAATATAATATAATATAATATGATATAATATAATATAATATAATATAATATAATATAATATAATATAATATAATATAATATAATATAATATAATATAATATAATATAATATAATATATATATATATATATATATATATATATATATATAATATATAACATATATACTATATAGTATATAACATATAACATATAATATATAATAATATATATATATATATATATATATATATATACATATATATATATATATGTGTGTGTATATATATAGATACACATGTTAATCCAGGACAGTTTTGTATCATGCTCTACTAATACTCTACTATACTAGGCCTTGCCAGGCGCTTGTTGGTCCACCATGGGCCTGGCTTCTGCATGCCCGGTGTAAGCCCCAAAGGCAACATGCTACGAGAACTCTTTGACTCCCTTTCTGCCATGTTGACGGCTGTTCACGGGTAGATTCACAACGGCAGGCAGGTAAAGAACAGCCCCAGCTGATGAAGCAAAGCGGGGACTGACAGCGCAACTGTAACTCACGCACACATCGAAGGCTTAGGCTTACTGTACTCTAGCCTTTGCGCTCGATGGTACAAAACTTGTCAAGATGGTAGCTCGTCTTTTTTGCATTGCGTGATCGCCCTTTGCCCTAAACTGCAAACTCGTTCAATGTTTCTCTGCATCTCTCCGGGGATGCCCTACAAAAGGGAGTAGGGTACGAGCCTAGAGGTACTAGTAGTACCCATGATAGTAACCTTTTTGCTGCCAGGAGGCCTTGGCGATTTACGAGGCCCTGGGCCTTCCAGCGCTTCAGCTGGGCGCTCTCGCCGCTCAGACTTTGCTGTCTTCCTGCACAACTGCTGCTGTGATCTCTACTGTGTGGCTATATTGGGCTTCGGCTTATGCTTTGAGTAGTAGTGTGACGTTTGTATGAAATACTTGGCATTTCTCTGTGCAAAATCAAAAGCTTTCAGCATGCCTTGCGGCGCAGAGTTATTGCTGGTGCTGTTGTTTATGCAGGGCGCCTGTAGGCTCGGCCTCAGAATGCTTGCAGCCTGCACGACATTGTCATCATGTGCGAGCCGTAGACCAATATTTCGACACAAGACCGAATAGATTTGTGTGACTTCAAAGTCCCACGGTGAACGTATTAGTTTACCCAAAACCGCAGAGAGCTTACGAGGTTCGCGGCTGTTGACGCATTTTGGTTTTCGAACGCGGTATGCATTCGCTGGATTATTTGTTGCTAGTTCTTGTCTTGCACGTGACATCCAAAAGCAACTCGGGGCTCCAGCCCTGGGAATGTGGGCATTGAACTCTCCCTCAACTCGGCCAGAAAGCCAGACCGAAGCTGGTACCTCTTAAGGAAGCCCTGATCGACGCCTGCAAGGCCGATCCATGTCCGTGTGGCGGAGGTTAGGGTTTAGGGGTTTAGCGTTTAGGGTTTAGGGTTTAGTCCTGCTGTTGAGGGGTGTTCGCTGGCACACAATCCAAGCCCGCGCTGTCAAGGGTTTAGTGCTTGAAGTTGATGTGCTGAAGCTCGATCCGAACGACATCCCGAACTCCGAGCAAGGATGTGACGAAGTATAAGTACAGATTTGGAGTTGCAAATGCTCCATATAATATGCTGGGCTTGGCTTGGGGAGTGCCGAGGACATTAAGCACGCCCCTCTTTGGCCAATGAGGTTCTAGGACTACGCAGATTGCAGGTTCTGCGGCAAGCCTTCGCAACTCACTATGCGCACAGGCGAAACAGAACACGCTGGATGCCACCACATGTGGAGAGAGCCTCGCGTCCATCTTCCGCACGGCTGGCAAGCGGAAGGCCACTTGGTCTTAAAGCAATAATTGTCCTCGAGTGTCGATGCAGTCGTTTGTGCAAGTGTCCCGACGTTATCTGCCACGACGAGCCACGCTCTGGAATTCATGAAACAGCCCGCATACTCCAGAGTCCTTCGTTCTAGACTCTTTGTGTTTATTCCTGAACACCAGTTCTCTACCTCTCTTCGCAAACTCGCCAGCCACTTGGAGCCTCCAACCCGATTTCGACCTGTAGCCGCCTCCGAGGAGGAAGGGAAAGTCTTCGAGCTCCTCTCGCGAATGAAGCCCGGCTGAGTATGGCTGCAGTCACAGTCGCGACTGTCGGGGACCTATGTGCGGCGGCATCAGGGAGTCACATTGAAGAAAAGCGATGTTGTTGGGGCTCAACACTGTGGAGGTCTTCAAGGGTCGGCATTTAGGAGTCGAGCCTTTGTGAAGCGTCATTGTATCTCTTGGCAGAGGGCACAAGCCAAGGCATCACGATCTTGGGGATCTAGATCCCGCCCTGGAGTCAGCCGAGGTGGGATGCTGTTTAGAGACGGTGAGGGAGGTGTCACAGCATGAGGGCAGGACTGTTTCGAGGTATAGGCAGGACCCGATACAGGGTAGATGAAGCCCATGGGAGGGGCATGCCACAATAGGGGCTGGTTGTACACGTATGCAATGCCGCTTGATGCATGCTGTTGCCCGCTGCCTCCAAAATGCGCTTGCATGCCTGCACATTTGGCTCTGTCTGCAGGTGCGAGTGTGAGAGGGCTCGCTGAAACGCAGGTCAGTCTGCGACCAACTTACTAAGCCATGGTGCGCGTGAAGGCATATGAGCTGCGCAGCAAGACCTCCAAGGAGCTGCTGAAGGAGTTGGACGACATGAAGGCTGAGTTGGCCCAGCTGCGTGTCTCGAAGGTGTCGGGCGGCGCTGCTTCCAAGCTGGCAAAGATCAAGACCGTTCGCAAGGCCATTGCCAGGATCCTGACCGTGTACAACCAGAAGCAGAAGGCAGAGGCCAGGAAGCAGTATGCCGGCAAGAAGTATGTGCCGCTGGATCTGCGACCGAAGAAGACCCGCAAGATCCGTCGTGCCCTCAAGAAGGAGCAAATCTACGCAAAGACCTCGCGCACCAAGACTCGCGAGCAGAACTTCCCCATGCGCCGCTATGCCGTCATGATGTGAGCCTGTGAGCTCCCCTTGTCTAGAACAGGGATGATGAACAAACACAGCAGACGCGAGCCCCGAAGGAAAACAAACTTCGCGAAGTGCTTGCAACATTACTGTGTTTCTGCTGCTGGTTCAGTCAACACCCAAACAAGCACGGATAAGTGATGAAATGATATGAAATGTGCATGCAAGGTGTGTGGCTGTAAGCTTGCCGCCTACTGAAGCCTAAGCGTCCATGTATGGAGACACCGAGAAAGCACAACCCACGGCAGATGCAGACCGTGCGTGTGCTGCCAGCTGATGTTTTGCATGTTCAGATCGACGTCAATTTGTTGGCTCAACCCGCAAGAGCGCAAGATCGCTGGGCCCGTTGCATCCCGAGGCAATTAGCTGACAGCTCCGAGCCATGGTGCGCGTGAAGGCATATGAGCTGCGTAACAAGACCTCCAAGGAGCTGCTGAAGGAGTTGGACGACATGAAGGCTGAGTTGGCCCAGCTGCGTGTCTCGAAGGTGTCGGGCGGCGCTGCTTCCAAGCTGGCAAAGATCAAGACCGTTCGCAAGGCCATTGCCAGGATCCTGACCGTGTACAACCAGAAGCAGAAGGCAGAGGCCAGGAAGCAGTATGCCGGCAAGAAGTATGTGCCGCTGGATCTGCGACCGAAGAAGACCCGCAAGATCCGTCGTGCCCTCAAGAAGGAGCAGATCTATGCAAAGACCTCCCGCACCAAGACTCGCGAGCAGAACTTCCCCATGCGCCGCTACGCCGTCATGATGTGAACGCTGCTGAGCTAACAGGCACCATTAGTGAAGGTGATGGACGGGCCCTGCGAAAATACAAGCTCTGCTACAGTAAGATATTCATCGATATGCTGCACTTGCTGCCGCCGTGCGTCGCCACTTGCTTCGTCGATGTGTCTTCAGCCTACGTAACGCTTTGTGCATAGCGCCTAGCATGTTTTTCATGTAAACACGGAGCAGGCCTTTGCCTTTGCATGCTACACCTGGGCTTCCGTGGGTTTTGCCCATGTGAGCATGCAAAGCTGCTCTTTCATCGGTGAGCCTGAGTTCTTTCCTTGCGGCCTGGCTCATCAGGATTGCGTGCGATCTCTGAAGCGCGTCGGTCCCTGACAGCTCCGAGCCATGGTGCGCGTGAAGGCATATGAGCTGCGCAACAAGACCTCCAAGGAGCTGCTGAAGGAGTTGGACGACATGAAGGCTGAGTTGGCCCAGCTGCGTGTCTCGAAGGTGTCGGGCGGCGCTGCTTCCAAGCTGGCAAAGATCAAGACCGTTCGCAAGGCCATCGCCAGGATCCTGACCGTGTACAACCAAAAGCAAAAGGCAGAGGCCAGGAAGCAGTATGCCGGCAAGAAGTATGTGCCGCTGGATCTGCGACCGAAGAAGACCCGCAAGATCCGTCGTGCCCTCAAGAAGGAGCAGATCTATGCAAAGACCTCCCGCACCAAGACTCGCGAGCAGAACTTCCCCATGCGTCGCTTCGCTGTCATGATGTGAGGGGGCAATGTCCGGACCTTGCACCGATGATTCGACCAACTCAGGGACCCAAGGAGATTTTCTCACGCGAAGAAAGTGCCTGCAGGCTTATGCTTTGATTGCCAAGTTGGCCGGTACAAGCATGATAATTCTACGACATCGTGTTTGAATCACTGCCTGCACATCGAGCGCAATACTTCGTCGTTTTCGGAGTGCTCCGTTTTTGGCAGGGAGTGTTTCCTTGCAGCTGGCACAAGTGGCACAGCATGCCTTCAGATGTTGTTACCTCTGTCGGGCATGTTTTTAAACTACGTTAAGACTGTCCGCCATCTGTGCATGTCTTTTGGTTCAAGGGTAGAGGCTCGTTGGCACAGCAAAGCGGCCCAACAGCTTGCACGTGGGCAGCCATGGTGCGCGTGAAGGCATATGAGCTACGCAACAAGACCTCCAAGGAGCTGCTGAAGGAGTTGGACGACATGAAGGCTGAGTTGGCCCAGCTGCGTGTCTCGAAGGTGTCGGGCGGCGCTGCTTCCAAGCTGGCAAAGATCAAGACCGTTCGCAAGGCCATCGCCAGGATCCTGACCGTGTACAACCAGAAGCAGAAGGCAGAGGCCAGGAAGCAGTATGCCGGCAAGAAGTATGTGCCGCTGGATCTGCGACCGAAGAAGACCCGCAAGATCCGTCGTGCCCTCAAGAAGGAGCAGATCTATGCAAAGACCTCCCGCACCAAGACTCGCGAGCAGAACTTCCCCATGCGCCGCTTCGCTGTCATGATGTGAGCGCAGGGTTGTCCGGATTCAAGAGCAGATGTCCAACTGGACTGTTGCAACAAGCCTTGTCAAAAAGGTGGTTCTTGCTTCTGCGTTTTTGGTGGCAGTACTTGCATGTGGAATGGCGGTAGGATCAGCCAGTCTACTCCTGCCTTTGTTTATGCCCCTGTTGACGGTAGCTCACGGTTTTTTGTCAGCAACTGCGCAACCTCTGCTTGTCGGGAGGCAGCCGTCTCTGTTTTCCAGGAAGGTGAAGATGTGGCAGGCAGACCGGTATCACTGGCAGAGTTCCCAAAGTAAGATATGTGGTTGGTTGTTTCCTTTCTTGCAGTTCGAGAACTTGCGATAATATTTAATTAATTTCATTACTTCAGTTCAATTGAATTTATATATTAATATATTATACTATATTACACTATGATATAGTATATTATAATATATCATACTATGATATACTATATTATAGGACATTGAAAAGGAGTTGCACTGGACATGCAAGCAGGCTGTTCCTTGAGGTTCACTGCTACATCTTGAATGGCCAACTGCTGATCACGCATCGCAACCTACCGGTTAAGCTCAGAAACACTTACGTCCACCAGCAATGGAAGTTTAAACTGTAAGAGCTCGAAAGCATCATACATCGCAAAGAAAGCAGATTCAGGCGAGGCAAGGGCGCAAACGCGCTGTGCTGCCATCTTCTTGGACCGCCCCTCGCCTGAAATCATTAAATCAGAACTGTTAGAACTCGACTAATATGGGATGTGTTTCTGGCCACCACACTAAATCGGGGCAAGCACACCGGACTTTTTCACGCTATGGGCCGGGCTGAGAACGCGGAGGCTTTCTACAAGAGGTTGTGACAAGATCTGCTGCGCAGCCCAGCAGCATTGCGGTTTCTGCTAGTGGCGTTGGCCTCCAGCGGAACGGAGCCTTGAGAGATCCAAAGAATGCTATTTACACCGATAACAATAACAACCATGAAACAAATAAGAGAATTGTAAAGATAAGATTCGCTTAACAATAACATCATTAAAGTAGGAATAATTAGAACATACTATGGTAACGATAATACGGAGAAGTACCAACTCAGGCAAGGACTTCGACGAAGCTTTGGTTTCCGCCAAAAAAGCAGCATCCCTGTTCGAGCGCTGTGGCCTAGCCGACGAGGTGCTCGTTGGCCGAAAGCATCGGTACTTGCGGAGTAATGTAGGGGCCTTAAGAATTAAAATCGGAATAGGGTTCCTTTAATTAAAGGGGTCTCTAGGGGCTGCCATAAGGGATCCATAAGGGTACTATGATATAGCGGTTTTAGTTAGAGTAGGATTTGGTGGTATACTATAACATAATTGTAGTAAGGAGCCCGTAAAGCCCTATTCTCATCATAAAGGCCCCCACACTAGGTTCACTGATTCACTGTGTTCCGGAGAAGTTCTGGGGGCCCTTGAAGAGCACAGTGTACAGAACTCCTTCTACGAGACCTCCTCTTGCACCTGCTTGAGCCAGCCTACCTTATGCATGTGTGAACACACGTGGAAATCTGCGAGGTCATTATGCAAATATAAATGTAAAAAAATGTACACATTGGTCGAGCTCCACTGCGTCCATGCATTCGCTGAGCAGATTACTGTGACTCGAAGCTTTGTTGGTTGGCTAACGTCGATGAGGAAACTACGCTCGAAGCATACAAACGGGAACAGAAGTGGCAAAGAGCTGGAGTCACTTGAAACAGGTGTTCTGCTACTGCTACCTGCAGGCTAGCCCACCATCCTGTGGGGACTCCGAGGCACTCCCTGAGCCCCAAGAAGCCCACATGCAAAGACCATATTGTTAGGAACAGCATCCCTGAGCCGAGAGTTGGCTTTGGGTCGGTTGGGGTTGAAAGTGAGGAAATTCGCGAGAGCCAGCTGACGAGCATCAACACCCAGGCAGGAAGTCACATGGGCCTGCTTGCGTGATCATACTCGGCTTCATGGCCCGTCAAATTTTGCAATCCTACTTCCAATGTTGAACCACTTCGTGTCGGGGCACATGGTGGCCCGGAGCTTTGTGAGTTCATGGGTTCAACAAAACTCTTGCTGCTCTCACAGTGGTGGTTCTTCAGCTTGACGGTTGAAGTTACCTTGTTGCCCTTGTTGTTGCGCTGGGGTCGTCTTTGGATGAACAGCGAAAAAGCTGGAGGACGAGTTGACTCCATGAGAAAAGGAAGCAGGACAAGATCAGGATTAGGGCCAAAGTAAACGATATTGGAAGTGCTGATATCGTTGACATTGGTGATGGCGATGATGTGGATGATGCCAGCGGCAGAGATGACGATGCTGATGAGGAGGGGAGGCGGAGCAGGAGGTGGAGGAGGATGCAGATGACACTGCAGCTGGTGAGGATGATGAGCAAGATAACCGCGACTATCATGATGGCAATATGGACGATGAGGCTTAGCATTGTGAATGCTATGGTTGCCGTGGCCGTAGTGGCTCAATTACCCAAGTGCCAGCAGCATTGGTCGCAGTCGACATCCCCGTCGTCGCTGTGGCACACACTTCCACCGCCACCTCCTAGATGCCGCTGCTGCTGATATGACTACGACGACTACTACTGATTACTACCGCCACTGATACTGCTACGGCCACGGCTACGGGTGCGTGCTTGCATAAGAGACAGAATCTTCTTAAAAGTACTTCCGTGGCCAATGGCTTCAAAACTACTTGCTGAATGCTGACACCTGAGCTGAATGATGCACGAATTCCTCGGCCCTACCACTGGCTAGTTTCGGCACTTCACGTCGCTAAGCGCACTTGTTCTTGCGCGTGGATCCTTAGACACACAACTTGGGGTGAAGGTTGAGGGTTAGTGTTGAGGTACTAGGCTTTAAGGCCTTTCTCGGTCCTAGGACGGAACCTCCCCCACCCCCCCTCCCCCGGCCCTCCGAACAAAGACCTCACCCTGCGAAAGAATCCTGCAAAGTACAGCAAAGGTGCTTGACGACTGCAGGTGAATATTGGACGCGTGAGGTACTGCAACTGCTACTTACTGCTACTGCTGCTACTACTACTGCTGCTGCTGCCGCTGCATGCAGAGGAGGCTAAGCTGCACATCCTGGGCCCCAGGCGTTTGCCCTGGCACAGCTCGGAAAATTCACGGAGGCGCTCCGTTATCTCGAGGACTCTGCTTTGAGGGTGAGGCGTCTCGAGCTTCCGACTTGACCACAAATTCAAGAGCTGGCAGGAAGGTTTACGGTTTTCAGGAAGAGTTGTTGAGTGCTTCTGACGCCGCAGATTCAGCAGCCAGCTTCAAACGAAACATTGTTCTGTTTGTAGCCTTGCCGCGGGTTGTTCCGAGCGAAGACAAGCTCGAAATCGATTCAAGAAACTTCGTTGATCCTCTGCTGAGACTCTCGAAGCTACGTGCTTGATTGTGGTGACTGGAGTGGGTGAGTCTAAGCAGGAACACCCTTGGGGAGGGAGGGAGGGAGGGACTCAAGGACGGAATCGACTAAGCTGCGTGATTCGACGGGCCTTGTTGGTCTCAAGGTCGAGTCGGGGCCTGCATTCCTTGCTGAGTCTCCTCGTAGCTGCCCGGAAGATGAGCAGGAGCAGCTGAAGCAGTTTCGGGCAGCCAAAGACAGAAGAGGAGAAGGATGGACGCTTGCAGCTCAGTATTTCGCTAAGGCTTGCTTGGCAGCAGTCTGGGACGAAGGCCACCGCTAGTGACCCCTGCCAAATCTTGCCAAGCCGAACGTAGGTTTAAGTAGCATCTCCGACCCCATGCAAGAGAAAGTTTGCCGCTTGTCGCCGATACCCTTTCTTTTGGTTGCCTTGCGGTCCTCGCTGTGGGACTTGAACCTCCATGTGGGAGCTTCTTGAAACATACGGGTTTGTGTGTTTGTACGGGTCGAGAGTACCCATTTGAGTTTGGTTCGGAAACTTGTCTTGAGTCTTGAGCTTCTCGAAGTTGAGGGTTTGGCAAACAGTGTCGCAGATCAGCCTCTGCCGGTAACTTGCGACGTCCCGGATCCGACCTGCAAGCAGCTGAAGCAGCAAAAGTCGTAGAATGGTGTCTTTGGAAGAAGGCTGCTCATCAGCGCGCAGCTTCTGCAGGCAAGTTTCCGCAGGGTGGGTAAGGTTCTGCTTCTGGCATCATGGCGTCTCGGGGCTCTCGACTCTAGGGCTGCAGGTTTTCAACTTATTTTTGGCCAACTTCACTTCACTTACGAGTTGGCATATCGTGCAAGACATCAAGCCAATGCTGGGGTTATGAAGTACACAGAGTTTAGGGCAGACTCCTAAATCTTACATCTTAAACTGAAGTGTCCCAGGACGTGTACTGGAAACCTTAGACTGAGGAGAGAACCTATAACATGGCAGGACACTGGCTTGCTTGCTTGGCTTTAAAGCCGCACAGCTCGAGTTTGCTATTGAGAGAAGATTTGAAAGCTCATTTTAGGCATATATGTATAGGTATGTATGTAGCATGCACACAGACATGTAGAATATCATGTGTATGTATATAAAACATATGTACATACAAATGTATGTGTGTGTATATATATATATATATGTTTACACATTCTACGCATAGAATTGTTTCCTCCTCTCCCACGGATCCACCGTTCTCGTCTCTGCAAATCCAAAGCCATCTAATATGCTTTTACGAGAGGCAGCGGAAGCGGTGCGTACATGGTTTTGTCAGAGTGGCTATGTATCTTTGTATATGTATACATACATACATGCATACATACACATGTGACTGTCTATATAAATACGCTTTAATTTACTGTATGCCCGAGTTGTTTCAATGAGCGGACTCAGCTGTAAAGCTCCTTGCCGGACAGTTCCCCTCGCACAAGGTTTAGAAATCCCTGAAGTTAAGCATGGGTTTCTTGACACGAAGGCGGTTCTATTGAGCGAAAGTTTGGCTTCAATCCTCAAAATTGATAAAATTGCAAATGGTAGATCAGGCCTGAACACCCCAGGGCTGACATGTTCACGGCAACGGAATGGTTGTATGCGGCTTCCTATAAGGTGGCACTGCAACAGAAGGCCCCGGATAGGATTGGTTTTTATGACGTTAACAATATGAGCCCTATCATACCGGTCCCAAAACCAATTTACTGTTATCCCCTAATGTGTGTGAACCCATAACTTATAGACTATAGACCCGTAAAACCCTTATAGAACCCTTGTGGTAATCTTATGGTACCCAGAAACCCTTATAGAACCCTTATGGTTCCCTTATGGTTCCCTTTAAAGGAGTCTCAAGCCAGGCCCAAGGCCGTCTCGAGCCGGCTTTGGGCGCCCTCGCCGCTGCGGCGCCGAAGTTGGCGGCGGCCGGGGATCCGCGCGAGGCGAAGGCCCGGCGGCATGTCGTTGTTGTTGTTGTTGTTGTTGTTGTTGTTGTTGTTGTTGTTGTTGTTGTTGTTGTTGTTGTTGTTGTTGTTGTGTGTGTGTGTTTTTTTTTGGGGGGGGGGGTAGAATTTTAATAGAATAGAATCGTATGGTGTAGTTTGCTAGAATATGATAGAATAGAAGATAGTAGAACAGAATATGAAATAGTACGTTTGAAAGATATTGTAATATAATGGAAGGGTTTAGGCGCTCAACTGCTCAAAGCGCGACATTGCCAATGATTCAATGCTCGAAATTGTCGATTAGTCGATGCACTAGCGTTTTCTGTGGACAACTGTCGCGGTTGGGGCTGTTAGTGGGTGCGTTCTTGCAGCGCTGTTTCACAAGAGTCCTATGGCGAATTCGATGCATGCTCAGCTGAGAGAATCGTCTTCTGGTGATGCCTAGGCTACAGTTTTTTCGGTGGGCTATCCAGCGGTTGAGAAGTTCCCACTGTGTCTTGTGGGCGAGTCCTCTTGGAAGCGCCTGTGGCGTCAAAAGTTCCTTAGGTATCTTTGAGGGGGATCTGTATGCTTGAATCTTCTTGTTGGATCGTTTGTTTGGTTCCGTCACTTTGTAATTTTGGAGACTGGCTTCTGAGGCCTGGGTTCCGCTCCATGAGGTTTGCGAGCAGGGGGAAATCGCACACGGACAACATGGCTCAGGGAAAGAAATGTCAAACTTTGTTGTCTTGTTTGCGATGACAGGGGCGACTTGTTGTTGCACCGTGGTGATGCACTGCTTGATTTCGCTTCTTCGTGAGTAGCGACATCGCGTTTGGCAAGGGCGGCAAAGGCTCCAAGCTACAACAAACAGAGCTGCAAGGCATGGCATCTCAGTACTCAGATCCATATGGAGCGGCAGCTTGGCGAGCTCAGTGGGGCTTGTAACGTCGTCATTTAATTCTGGAATTATGGCTGGTTTAGAAGCCTTCTGGCAGATTCAGGATGATGGGTTTGGGGGTTGGGCATTTCCGGCTAGATTGTTCAGCTCCAAGAGCTCTTCGAAGAGCACTGCACTGAAGGGGCCAACGAGTGGAAGTCTGATGGAGTCGAACAATGTGCTTGCACAGCATTTGCCGGCCAAGGAAGGACCTCTCCAAGGCCGGGGATGGACTTGCCTGAGAGGGTTCTAATGTCAAGGAAGTGGTTTGTCAGCGCCAACATTCGCTGATGCGTATGGCTATGATGACCATGGCCAGGTTGACTGCCTGCTGCCGTAGATGATGAGTATTTGGATGAGGATGGGATGATGTTGGAAGTTGGACGTCACGGCACTGACGTCGGAAACGGGCCTGCCAGCTGCTAGCTGCGGCGATAGTGCCGACGATGCTTCGCATTCTGGGTGTGATGCATGCTGTGGTTTCAATGATGGTCGTGCCGGCGAAAGTGCAGACGATGCTTGTTGGGCTTCGGCTTTCCGGGCGGACGTCACGAAAGTTCAGCTGTGTCTTGCGGTCTGCAGGCGTTGGCGGCAACGGAGATGTCAGCGCTGGCTTACCGGAAGGTACGACTCTGACTGGATTTGGTCGTGGAGATTGTTGATGTCTTCTGGAAGCGGAATAATAACACTAATACTACTAATAACACTAAAGATGATAATAACAACAAATTATAAGTAAGAAATTAAAGTTAAATGTAATACTTAGTCGGGGCTGCACTGACTTGTAGAGGGCCGAAACCTGCAGTTTAAGCCAGATGGCTACTCTTTGGATTGTCTTGCATGGCAGACATTGTGGGTTCACGTAGACCTTGGCAGGCTTCACATTGAATGCTTGAGCTATGAAGCAAGAACCGACCCTGCATCTTCCCCCAAATTCTGAGAGCCCCTGTCAATTGCCGCAACTGTCCATGAAAGAACATTTCCGCGCCCTGTCGTAGTACTGCCGATGGATTCAGCAGTCTTGCACAAGCCGACACCTTGTTAGATTTGTTGGTAGATGCTGCAGAGAGACGTGCATGCGTTCGTGAGGCTGGAGACAAGCGCGGAAGAGCGCAGATCGCAGCGCTTATGGCAGAGATCCAGCCACTTCGCCTCGGACGAATAGGTCTTGCTGCTCCTGCTCTATTCCATATTGAGTTCCTCGCGGATTTTCCTTTCATTCCCCAAAGTTTGCGTCTCCTCTTTGTCGTAGTTGGGTAACATTTTACATGTTTATGGGTACTTAAACCCAATACGGAATAAACATGTACATTTTTAATCCTATCCCAACAATGAACTAGTCCTGCCTAGAAACCCCTGAGCCCGCAGTTGCGTTTAGGTTCCTCCTTTGCGGTGTCGAGAAAGCGCGGGAGGGCAGTTTGGAGGATGCGAGGCGTGCAGCGAAGGACCGTGTGCTTCGGGACTTCAGGCTTCTCGGGGTGTTGAAGCGAATAAAAAAGGGGCCTGAATAATTAATTGGAAAAGGCTTTTGGGGCCCATTATACCAAAAATATGATAGGAACCTCCACAATAGTATATAGGCAATTATTAAGGCCCCTATAGTGAGAGCGTTTTGATTGTCAGCGCGGCAGGTGCAGAAGTGATGACCGATGAATGCATTGCTGCTGTTGCAAAGCGATAACAGGGGGTACCTTAAATTGGGGTCCTTATATAATAAGGATCCTACCATTTGGGGTGCTATTTTCGGGTCCCCTATTTTCGGCCACTCTAGGATAGTTGGGGCCTCACAGGATCCCAGGCTTCCTTCACCGGGTAGGTGTGAGCTTCGAGGCGGACTTCAGTCCCCGGGCGCTTGTAAAGAAGTCATGGAGTCATGCCTTCCAAAAGTCGTTCGCTGGGCTGGGGCTGACGGGCTGGACAGCACCATGACTCGTGGCTGTAGAGAGTTCCGAAGTATCAAATGGTCCAGGGCATGTCAAAAACAGATGGGCAGAGTGTTTGCCAGAAGCCCTGAACCAATAACACGTGACTTACAACCGCCGGGTTTCAGAGAGTTGACGACACGAACATCTGACCGTCAGAGTTCCCAGTTCCAATGCCAAACCTCTTAGTTAACTGGAAACTCACGTACTCATCCACGTGAACCTGCGACCTGTCAGGAGGCCGTTGCGCTCTTCCAAGACATCCGGGAAAGAAGTGTTGACACTTATCTTTGCAAGATTAAGGCCGTTCGGGCCTCATGTGGTAAGCTGAGTTTCAGACAATCTTGTTGTACCAATGATGCGCATTGCGGCATGCTCTTCATGGTAAGATCTGCCAAACGACGAGTGGTCCAAGGAGCTGGGCTACTGTTTGCACTGCGACCTGGTTGCAGAGTATTTCGGGGGCGGGGAAGCGGCGGTCTGCTGACTTCTCTCATAGAGTGTCTCTCTTCCATCCTGCGCCCGGAACTTGAACCGAAAGACTTTATCAGCGGCACCGTGCCTGTGCGCAAGAACTGCCCGGGTTGTGTCTCTTTCCTGTATTATTACGCGTGTCGTGAGCAAGTTCTTAAAGGCGACAGCAGTTATGGCGAAGGCACCTTCGAGACCCGTGCTTCCTCTGCACAAGTTCCGACCAGATGTATCAAGCTGCAAAGCCAAGCAATGGTGCCATTCTGAATCCTGTTTGTTTAGAAGCACAAAAGCACGAAGCCAATCCCCAAACTTCCCAAGCATGAAGCCCTGGTGGTCACATGATGTCTGAATCCCACCTTGGCGGCCAGGCCTTGCAAACATCAACCTGGCACTACATGACTGGGAAGCCGCTCTGCATGCTGCCGAGGACATTGCAGCTAGAGCTCGAGTCTCTGAAATACACCTGGATCCAAGAGTGACACTCGCGCCCTCACTTTTCCCTGTCTTTCATGTTGAGCCTTGCGGATTTGGTGATGTTGCCTGGAATTAAGCTGCAGCTGATGATAGGCGGTTCTAGGGAATGAGAAAGGCAGGAATGCTTCCTTCGCCTCCCGATCCCTGAATTCCAGAACCCCGTCACACCACTCAACCCGGAACAGGAGGCGCTGGACGTGTTCAGGGCGCTGCAGGTCTTCGGGCTGCAAGAGCACGAAACTGCTTGTAAATAACCCGATGTAGGTCCTGTGCTAAGGTAGAACCTCAGGTTTCTGTGAGTCTTTGGGGCTAGCGGTTTTGCTTCTTTGACTTTTCGATCCTTCGGGCATTCCCTTCCTATCTCGGCACTGTGATGTAGAACCCTCGCTGGGAAGGGTTATCATCCGTCCCATCACCATCATCTTCATCTACGACTACATCATGTACTACTACTACTACTACTACTACTACTACTACTACTACTACTACTACTACTACTACTACTACTGCTGCTACTACTACTACTGCTGCTGCTACTACGACGACGACGACTACTACTACTACTACTACTAGTACTACTACTACTACTACTACTACTACTACTACTACTACTACTACCACTACCACTACGACTACTACCACTACCACTACGACTACTACTACGACTACGACTACGACTACGACTACGACGACTACTACTACTACTACTAGTACTTGCTAGTATACATGATCAGTGCCCTCTATCGACGCAATTGAATGGCAGCAATCCTGCAATTGAAGCTTAAGGATGTAGGGACTCGTACTGCTAGGATGAGTGTTCGGCGGACCTGAAGTCATGGTTCATACCGTCAACAGCACTATTGCCACCACTACGTGGTCCTCCTACTGCGCACTACCAGTACCATGTCACTGCTGCGGCAACAGCGGTTGAAGCTGGGACATCGAAAGTCAGTGCTCGGGGGAAATCTTCTTGCTGGAGAGGATGCTTCTGCTGCCGTCCTCCGAAGCAAATCGTCCTGCCTTTCGCAAGCCATGGAGGAACCCAAGCTGGAAACCACTGCTTTGCTCCTCGAGTCCGCTGCATCTTGGCTGTATGGTGAAGGTGGTTTCTTCTTGGTTCATGGTGTTGCGTCGGTAGCATTCTTTGCAGAGTTCCTTGCTAATCTGAGGTTTCGAAGCTTTAACTCTTTGTGCATTTCTGCAGTTCCTGTGGTTCGTCAATCGATGCTTGTATTTGAGGAGTCGTTCGGGTGTCGGCACAAGCAGGGCATCAGCATAACATCCTTTCTGCTCGAAGTTGCCAAAGGCGTACCTGGGGCTGCAGGACTTCGAACAGAGCAGGCCTGGTCAATCGCGATGCTGCTTCCAAGCTTTGTGGTTGTTGCAGGGCTCAGGACTTGAACGATCTTGAACGAAACTGGATCCGACTCAGATTGAAGTGCGTGGCATTTGCACAAACCTTGCTCACTTCGGCTCCTGCTGGCAAAGGCGTCGGGCAAACGAGGCCAAGGAGATTTACGAAGCAGCTGGAGCAGGCACTGATCTGTTTGCAATTACCACTTTTTGGCCATGTTTAGGTGCAATGTGCAGAGCCCTGTAAACAAAGTCCTTTGTTGCGCAAAACTTTGCAGACGGTCAGATGGACGTACGAAGACACAAAGCAGCGCTGTCGTCACCACCCTGTCGTGCAGGGCGAGACCCGGAAATTCGATGTCGTAACTGTTCAGGTCCGAGGCGGTGATGCTACACGTGCACCGATGCATCAACTGCCGAGCTCCGAAATCCCTTGCTCTACCAGACACCAGAGCAAACAGGTATACATGGTAGTTTTGGCGTCGGAAACAACATCGCTACCATCAGCACCACCATCTCACTCTGTAATATGGGCCCCGTCAACTGGCGCATGCTCATTACGATGCCACTGTAAACCGCTAGCGAGTTTGCAGGTGCAGGTGCCGATTCGGTCGACAATTGGCTCCAGAGCATCGAGAAGTATGCGAAAGGTGAACTCAAGATTCGCAGCTTTCACGGCTTCTCCATGCGTGCTCCGGTTGCATTTCCATGAACTGACGGGGCCGGTAACGGAATATTCGATCCTTAAGTGCCAGTGATACAGGCTCCATTGCGAAGAGAAGCGCTTCGCTGTTGCAAATTCCACGGGAGATGCTCTAAAAGTCCCGGGTGGAACCCTTCGGCTGGCAGTGCGTCAAAAACTGAAGCGGGTCCGCCCAAAAGTCAACTTCCCTCATGGTCAGATTGCATGCCAAGCACTGCTGCATCGGCAGACCACTTTGCCACGTAGTCTTGCGGCCCTCGCCTGAGGCCGCACATACGGCACGCCTGTAGCTGCGCAGCCGGAGCAACACCAAAGTTTCAAGCCTCTTGGCCAAGATATAAACCCTGAACCCTTAAGCCTTCTGGGAAAAAAAACCCTCATTTTATTGAGTTGGTTGGTTAGTTGGTCGGTTCGGGTGCTTGCTTCCTGAACATTCACCTGTAGTCGAGATCATGCATGTGTTCAGACTTGTGTGGATCCTTGCCTGCCTTGTGCTCGCGGTGAGAGTCTGAACCCTAAGCGCGAAGGATTTGCCCATAGTTCTTCTACTTTTCGCACTTGTGTGCCGGCGTTTTTGGCAGTTAGGCAGGTGCGGTCTGCACATGTTTTTCTCTAGAGAGGGGTTTAGTGAGTTGAGACCTCTTTAGATGTATACACATCGACGACAGGTACATACTGCGCGCACATGTGCAAATATGTGCATGGACAAAGGTGTATTAACTCTCTGTTGCGATCGTTTGTTGAGTTTTCGCGAAGCATGTACGTACCATGTATGTATGTATGTATGTATGAATGTACGAGTGGATAGACAGATGTAATCAAACCGCCTTCCAAACTGAATACAGGCTGTACGATCCTTGGACCCGGTCTGCCTAAGGGAGGCAAGACGAAGGTCGCGGAAGAATAACTGATCCAATGTGGTCGGGATCGGAACTGCAAGTTCAACATGACCACGTCGAGAGTAGTGCTCTCGGAGGCCTCTGCATTAGATAAACTCATTGGCAGTAGCACCGGAAGCTAGGTGACAACCAACCTCAACGTTCAACCCCACACCCTAAATCCTAAACCGTATACCTCATGTTTTGCCTAAACCCCAAAGCTCTCCGAGCCCCCCACCAACCCCCGAGGCCCCCGCGGCGAATAGGCAACATCAACGACATTGAAATCATCACTGCAGATGACTCCAAGGCTCTTTGCTTGTCAGCATCCGTCGTTTTGGTTAAGACCGTCTCATACATCTTAACCGTTAAGATGTATGAGATGCTACGTAGGAATACTCTCGGAGTTGGGTTCTCGTCTTTGGGCAATGGAGCTGTGAGATCCTGAAGACTTTACAGCCGCAGGCCGAGGGCACCAGCTCAGGATCACTGAGACAAATGGAAAAGAGTGTCCCGGGATGTACGGCAGCAATTTGAGAACTTACATCTCCACATCTTAGACTAGATCGCACATCCAATACAGGCTGGCCTTGATCATTCGTAGTAAGCTTCCCTCATTATGGTCCCTTTATACTAAAGTCTAAGCCATCCCAAAACCCATTCTAGCTCCACTTAGCCCCTCCCCGAACATCGCCGTCGAACTCCGGCTTCGGGTCATGACATTCTCCGTCACGACCTGTTGCATCCCTGGCCCCATCCCAAGATCCAAGCCCCAAACCTCTCTAAACCCTTTAAAGCCACCCTTCAGCACAAGCTCCTGCAAGATTGCTGCATAGGTTTCGGGTGTATAGGGCCTATGATAACGGTCGCTCCGGGCCTCTTAACCCTAAACCCTAAACCCCCTAAACCCTAAACCCTACACCGTCACTCCGGGCCTCTTAGGCCACGCGAACCACCATCATCGTCTACCAGGGCTTGGAGCACCGAAGTGCTGGAGGGGGAGCTCCGGGGCCTCCGGTAACCTGACCCAAAGGTTCCGATAGGCGGATCCTAAATAGGGGGTCTATAAGGGCTACTCTAAGGGATCTATAAGGGTACTATAATATAGGGGCCTAAATAAGTACCACTACACTTTTGGGGGGTTCCTTATCATGATAACTTTAGTATGGCTAAGGCCACTCTTTAGTTTTTTTTTTGCCGGTGTTGGCCTCATGCTCCTGTCTGGAAGCTTATGAAAAACCTTGCTATGATGTTTAACACGGCTTTATGGCTAGATGGCTTAGTAGTAGGATCTTTCCAGGCCGTGCAGTGCTGGAGTCTTGTTTGCGGAAGCGGGGTTTCTGGCAGAAAGAGTCTGAGGGTCATTGCTCTTACTCTTTGACTGTCTCTGTGTGACTTGAGCCTTTTGCCGCCAGATTCCTTCTGCTGCCCTTTCATTGATAGCTTTGCATCTCTTGGTGTCGTTAGCGCGGTTTCTACTACGACGACACTTGTCTGCTTCTTGGGATGGGGCTTTGGAGCAGGGTTTCGTGTCAGAGAAGGCTGAAACTCCGGCACCCACATGCTCAATGCGATCAATCTTTTGCAGGACGGTTCTTCATGGACGTAACCTTCTTACCCCTTTTACCACTTTTTTAAAGGGCTCAGACGCTACTTACAGATGCCCACATCGGGGTTGCCAGCCTCAGGGGCCCAGACCGGGGTGGGCCCAACTCTACATCTCTCAAGACCGATTCAGAAGTTTCCCGAACATTAGGGGTACCTTATTTGGGGGTCCTTATAAAAAGGATCCTACTATTTGGGGTATTATATTTGGTTCCTCTATTTTTCGGAAATTCCCATTGAAATGTGTGTGGGGGGGTGAACACGGAAGACCCGTGTTGCACCTTTTCCGGCCTGGATGTTGGAGTTCAAAGAGCAATTCTGATGTTTGTTCCACGTCGCCACTTTGATTGCCACGAAATCACCTGGTCTGGTCCTACGACAACTGAGGGAACGGGACAAACTAAACTCAAGTCTCATGAGTGACTCATAAGTCTACCCAGGTGGTGTCATTGTCATGGAGTTCTGAATTTGCCGAAAAAGGGCTATGCCCTCCTGCAGCAGAGTGCGATAGGTTCGCTTGATGCTTGCTGACACTTACTACTGCCTGTGGATATGGCGCCCCAAGCCCGACTAGAAGATCTCTGTTGAGAAAGCAGTTTTGTGAAGCCCGGAAGCTGTGAGGCAAAGAGGGTGCATGTTCCTGAGCTGGAAGCGTTGGGGCCGCTTGGTAAAGGATACTTGCAAGTAGCTGCTGACATAGAGCTCGTTGAGGGAGATCTTGCTGCCGACCCGTCCTTTCCAATTTATAGAGGTTCGTATGACTCAGCAGCGCTTGCTGTAGCGCAGTCCTTCGACAGATAAGGTTTCATCGTGCGAAGTCAAAGTCTGCTTGGGTGTATTTGCCGCAGCAGTATTCCCGAGGACACGCAGTAACTGTCGAGAACTCCAGACTTGGTAGGTTTGTAGCGCAAGTACACTGTTAGAGTACAGCCGCGGGGCTTCCACGGATCTGGTGGCCGCTTAAAGTTTCGACTTGGGTTAAAAGACAGCTATCTATTTTTCGCTCAGTCTTTCAGGTACTGCTAAGTAGGGAATAGGATTACAGCTACCCTCTCTTGGCACCATGCCAGGATTGCTAACGCTGCAACGAAGGATCCTAGCTCCTAAAAACTGAGCCCCTTGAACACCTCCACACCCGTCGCTCTCCTGCGAGGCAGGCCGTAGTTCTGCATGCGAGTCGCTCAGGCTCTCTGCGGACAAGGAGTTGGAATACGACGTCAGAAGCACGGCTTATGTTGTATTCCCTCAAGGTCCCTCAACCCTTTAATTACTACAAGGTTGGGAGTCAAACAACAGAAAGTCTGAAAATTACGATCGGAGACAGCAACTGAACTTGCAGTCGTCCCCGGGGCTCTTGAGGCTCTTGGGGTTTCGGGCATGTTGAAGCCGCGGGAGCCCTCCTCATTTTGGACTGCTTTGCAAGGTTTGACAGGAGTGTCTGATTATTGGATCTTCGCTTTTGGCTTCGAGGCCATCTGCGCAAACGACACCTCCTCATATCTATAGTGATGACAAAATTCAAGAAACCGGCGAAATGAGACCAGGCAGGAGAATGTCACGAACCCACCACCACCACCACCGCCACCACCACCACCACCAACACCACCACCACCACCACTACTACTACTACTGCTACTACTGCTACAGCCATGCAAGAGGCAAAAACTACTCCTGCTACTACTCCTACGACTACGCCACGACGACGATTACTGCCGCTGCTACTTCGACTTCTACTTCTGCTGCATAGCTCGAGTATCACTACTAAGAATATAGAAGAAGACTTATCGTAGTAGTAACAACAACACCAATACCGCGACGACTACAGCCGTCACTAGCACTACTTTTGCCGCTGTGCCAACAGTCTGGTGAGATTGAGGAGATAACGTCTGAATTGTCAGGATGGGTGCAACGCCGCAAGTCCAAGAGCCACTCCAAGGGTAGACGCCTGCAAACAGCCGACGAGGCACAGCCAATCAGTTTCGGGAAGCAGGTTAAGCTTAGTTCCAAATTAAACCGTTTTCGCGTTTGGAGTCCGTGCTTCGTGAATATGAACCTTATTAACAAACGGGACATGCAACGCCCAGAGTTTTCCACCCAACCGGAGATCCGCTTTCACAAAGTGGAACGAGAACTGAAG